GAGACAGGAGCCTGCAGGGCCTATAAGGAGGTCAGTGTGACTGGAGTGGGGGCAGAGGTCACCAGGACGGGTGGGGACAGCCCGTAGCTCAGCCAGTCCTTTTCCCGCGGAGTGAGGTGGGAGCCAGGGGAGGGCCTCAAGCAGAGGAGTGCCACAGCCTGACGCTGGCTTCAAGAGGATGCCCTGGCTGGTGTGAAGATTCCAGGAGCTCGACTGTAAGGGGCAGGGAGACTTCCTCACTTGGAAAAGCATGAGTGGCTGGAAGGAAGAAGACGGACGGGAAGTGAGAGAGGAAGCCAGTGCCCACTGGGCTGCAGACAGATGCCAGGGCGGGGCAGGGTGGGAGGCGTGGGTCCTAGGGGCAAGAAAGACTGCCGGACAGGCAGTCTTCCCTTTGCCCAGAGGAAGCACGGACCCAGCTAGCTGGTGCCATGATCTGGGGAGAGGCAGACGGGAGGGGCAGCGTGGGGTTCTGGTTGGGGTGGTGGGGCACTTGGCAGGGAGATCGCCACCCTCCAGGAGGGATGGGGACTGGAGGTGCGGAGAGCCTGTGCCGGCGTTTGCCTCTTCCTCTACCTCAACAGAGCATGGCTTCTCGCCACACCTTCTCAGGCACATCCTCACTGCTCTTGGGTACCTGACCTCACTGTTATTAGTGGAGTTTCTTATCAAGTGAAGAGTCAGGTGACCTTGAGTGCATTACTGCCCCTCTCTAAGCTTTTGAGTAAAAGAATGGGTTTAATCTAGATGGTCTCCAACCAAGCCCCTTCTAGCATTTCTATTAATGGGTGGAGTCAGGCGCTGCATCTCTCCCACCTCCTTACTGCCATGCTGGTTTCAGGTTCCTGTCATGCCCTCTGTCTTTCCTTCTCTCCCCAGGGCTGCCCTGTACGGTGGTGCAGGGTGTGCACTGCACAAGGGCACCCAGCCAAGGAAGTAAGTGGAGGCTCAAATCCAGCCCACACTCTGCTCCTCATGCCATGTGCTCTGGCTGGCTCAGGGCTGTATTTACCCAAAGTAAAGAACATCTTTTTCTAGTTTGTTCTAAGGTGCAATATGGGCAGCCCCCACTTCCCTGTCCCATGCACACTCCTTCGTCTGCTCTTCTGTGTCCCTTTTCTCCTACCATCCCCAGCCTCAAACAGGGCAGATCTGAGGGCAGATCTGGGGGAGGGAGGGAGGGCGGCAGCTGCCTCCTCTGTGAGGAGGTCTGCTCCTAAGCCCCGTTGTGCTTTTCCTCTCCTTATCAATGCTGCAAGTTGCCTCTAGAAATTGCTCTGCCGTCATTAACACTGCGGATTAGGTCAGATGAGAGCGTGTTTGCAGTCTTGGATGGCAAAGGCAAAACGCTGAGCTTATCATTCCCGATCTTCCGGGCATGGCCCATTCCGTGCTCACAGTTCTTAATCAGAAGGACGATTGCTGGCTATGTGGTCGGGTGGGCCAGGCTACGGTTGGTTCTCATCTGGCTGCCAGGCCCAGACAGCACGTCGGCAGTGTGTCTGCAGCACGTCTGTAGCACCTGCTGGCCTGCCCGCTGGCTTGCCTGGACATCACAGGTGACCTCAGTTGCTCGGCACTGTCATATCCCTCAAAGGAGAAATGACCCATCTGATGGCAGTGCCCTTGGGCTGTTTTTGAACCATCAGCAATTCATTTGAGCAAGGACTCTGAGCGTTTTGCCCTGGGCCTGAGCAGCAAGTTTTGTGTTCTGGGGCTCACTGGTTGCCCATGCAGCCGAGGGGTATCTTTCAGACCACCCCTCCGTCAGTGTCTCCTTCTGAAAAGCCTCTGTGGCCGGAGGAGGCCAAGGCCTGTGGCCTTGCATCACGGCCCCTCACCTCCTGGCCTCATATTCTCCATCCGCCACCTTCACCCTGTGCTCCAGCCACACCAGGGTCCCCAAACACAGCTCTCCGGCCCTTACTCATGCTGGTTCCCTGCCGAGAGTGCTGTGCAGCCTTGTCCTCCAGGCAGAAGTTGATCATCAATGCCCTCACCTTGACGGCTTCAGTGTGCTCCTGCTCCACATCCAACTGCCGGCACCTGCATTTCTTCGCCAGAAGCTTTTTCTGGCTTCTGGAACCTGTATTCCCCGTTCTGTGCTGGTCAGGCCAGAGGGCCAGGGAATTACCACTCTCAGAAGCTGCCCTCAGCCACTGAGCCACTGGCTGACGCAAGCTGCCATATACACACCCCTGCTCCCTCACCCCTCCACGGGCTGCCTTTGAGGCGTGTTCTACAGGGTCTCCCAGAGCTCCTCAGTGGGAAGGAGCCTAGTTGCTCACGGTGACGACTGGCTTGATAAACCGCCCTTGGCTGCCTTCCCTGTCTCACCCCCACACTCCCCACATATAGCGTTTCCTTAATCTTCCAAATAAACTACCACTCACATTCAAATCTTCCTCTCACGGTCTGCTGCTGGGGGAACCAAACAGACATCATCTGTAATGTCCGTCCCATATCGCCTCCTTTTTGCAGTTTCCCCTGACCCTCCCTTGTTGCCACTCCGGGGGCAGAACTGTTGGTCACTCTTCTCTATTCCCAGGGCCCTTCATACCTGCTTCAACAGCACTGGTCATGCTGCACTGTGGCTTATCTGTCTGCATGTCCTGGGTCCCCACTAGCCTGGGAACTCTTTGGGGACAGATACTATGTCTTTTTGATCTCTTTATTCTCTGAGCCTAGGATAGTGCAGAGTTGGTGCCCAATACAATTTTTTGCCAAAGAGCCAGCAGTGGAAATGCAATGACTAAGAGGGAATGGCGAGAAACAGACAAGTCTAGAATCTTTCTAGAAAGAGACCCAGGGCTGCTACTCCAGAAGCTGTCACATTACAAGGTTACATGGTAGAACATCAGTCTCACCACTCACCTGCTCAGCAACCTGCAATGGCTCCCTACTGTTGTTCTACCCACTGGGCCTAATTTCTTAGATGGCTTTTAAGACCCTCCATCATCTGGCTCCATCCCAAGAGGCAGTCAAGCCTCTTGTTCAGAGTTAGGCTTTGGTCTCAATGGCCTGGGTTCAAATTCTTACTCTGCCAGTTCCCAGCTGGGTGATCATGGGTAAGTTACTTAGGCTCTCCGGGCACTAGCTTCCTTATTTATTAAATGTGGATAATAATACCTCACACCTATAATTATTTTGAGAATTTAAAAATCATGCATGGTCCTTGTGAATATACTAAAAACCAATGAATTGTACACTTTAAAATGGTGACTCTTGTGGTATGTGAATAATATCTCAAAAAAAAATTAAGCATGGTGTTTTTGAAAAATAGAATTGTGGTTATCATCGTTATCAGAGAAGTTTCCCAAGTGGCCCTAGCCCCGGGCCAGGCACGCAGCAGGCACTCAGTAAATACTGGTGGAATGAATGGCATTGTCTAGGACAGGTATGTGAGGGCTGGCGGGTGGCGGGCATAGAGATTCCTAGTCCAGTTTTGCATCCTTCAGGAAAGGAGGCCGGAAATTGTTCTCTGTGGAGAGAAGGCCTCAGGCCCAAACCGGCGAGTGGGGCCTTCCGACCCAGCCGCGCCCCACTGCTCTGGGAATCCCAGCGCCTCTGCCTCTTGCTGTCCATCCCAGGTGGCAGAACCGGGTCCAGCTGATCCGAGCCGTGAGTAGTGGAAAACACTTAATCCAGGCCGAGGAATACGTTCTTATATTTATCTTTGCCTCTAGCTGTATCTGATGTTCCGGGAACTGACTTCAAACAGAATCTCGAGGCGCAGGTCAAGGCCTGGCTGCCAAAGTCAAGGCCCAGAGGGCGAGGCTTTCCGGGTCCAGCCTCAGGCTCTTGGCCTACCCCGGCCCCTTCCCCGGCACAGAGGCGGGTCCTGGTGGGCGCGGAAGAGGAGGCTCCATCACGGCCAACCTTAGACTGAGGCTGAGGAGGGGCTGCGGGGCATTTTCTGGAGACGTGTCTACGCGCGCAGGCCTGGGAGACGCCACAGCGCTGCGACCCAGGCCCGGAAGGGCCAGGCTGGGGCAGGGTGGGGCCTGGCGGGGAGGGCGGCCGCCTGAGAGGTGCCTCAACTCGCCGCTCGCTCCCAGGGCAGGGATCAGAGCCCCGCACACAGCAGGCGCCTACTCAGTGCCGGTGGCATAGAAGCCCGAGGAGCTCGGGCCGCCCTCTCAGTGTGGTGGAGGAGGCTTCTAGACTCGGGTCTGGCTCAGCCGTGTGGTCACGACGGGCTAGGGATGGGGAGGGCGCTGGCGCGTGGCTTAGGTGGCTGACTCGCCGTGGCCAGGCCCGGCGGGAGCCAGAGGAGGGTGGGAGAGGGCCCGTGCACCGACCCTGCCTAGGCCTAACGGCCCTCACTGGGAAACGGAGGCGGCCCCTCCGGGCACTGGGGTCGCCCCCACACGGCTCCCCAGGAGATGTGGAGTCTGTTTCTGGACTGAGACCCCTTGCAAGCCTCTAGGGGGGCGGTGGTGTCTTTTGGGCACTTGTCCCTCCCCACCCCCGCCCCGCATAGACCCTTCTCAAACGGATGCCCCTTGGTTCGCAGAATCCTCTCCCTCCTCCAGTATGGAGACCCTTGAGGAGGGTGGGGAGTCGGGGGCGGGCACAAATGGAGACGCCACGGCCGGGACCATCTCTGGCTGTCACTCCCAGAGGTTCCCAGCATCTGGAGCCGCGTCCCCACGCCCGCCACGCGCGCGCGCACACACACACACACAGACACACACGCTCTCACAGACACACTCACACCCGCGCGCAGACCCCGCCCGCGGCCCCGCCCCGGCCCCTGCGGGCGCCCCCTCCGGCGCTCGCGGGCGGGTCAAGAAGCCCGCCCCGGGTGGCGGGAGGCGAACGCTTCGGGCAGATTTGATTTTCCCGCAGCCCGGGCGCCCCGGAGCCGGAGCCCGAGCCGAGAAGGTGGCGGTCGCAGCCGCGTCCCCAGCCCCGCCGCCGCCCGCGCCGAGACCCAGCGAGAGGCGGCGCAGCCCGGGCGCTCCGGCCACCCCCGCCCTCCCGCGCCCATCCGGCTCCCCACGCCCCTCTCCCTCCCCTGCACCCCTTCTGCCCCCGCCCGTAGCTGCACGCCCCTCTCCCCGCGTCCCTCTCCACGACTCCGCGCGTCCCTCCTTGTGCCCTCTCCTCGCGCCCCGCCGCCTCTCCTCGCTGCGCCCTAGCTCCCTGGGCACCTCGCCCCTCTCCGCTGGGCCCCCAGCCTCCTCGTCGCGTCACCCACACCCCCTGCTCTATCCGCGGCCCCCGCACCCTCCACCCCCCTTCCCTCTCTCACTTCCCACGCCCCCTCTTCGCGCTCCTCTCTCCTCCCTTTGCCGCCCAGCCCCGGCTCCGGAGTTGGGGGAGAGCCCAGGGTTTCCGTTGCTCCGGAGGAGGCGTGAATCGCGCAGGGATTGACTAATTTGGGGTGGGGGGCGCGGCGGGCGATGGAACAGCCCGAGGACATGGCGTCGCTGAGCGAGTTCGACTCCTTGGCGGGCAGCATCCCCGCCACCAAGGTGGAGATCACCGTGTCCTGCAGGTGAGCCGCCCGCTGGCCGGGTCCCCCCGCCCCGCCCCGCCCCGGGAGCCGGGGCACCGCGGCCCCTGCCGCTTCGACCCTGCACATCCGCGCGCCCCATTCCGGAGGGTCCTCGCTTCCAGGACGACCCCCGGGCTTGTCCGGCAAGAGCCCCTGCTTAGCCGCTGGTGGCGACGGCGGAATGGGAAGCCAGGCTTGGGGTCGTATCCCAGAAAGTTTGCACTCTGGGCTGTTGCTGCGAGGAGCTATGAAGACACAGGAACAGGGGTCCAGGCGCCCGAGTGGGGAGAGTAGGGTAGTGAAAGGCTGTACCAGGGTCCTCGCACAGGCTATTTCTCATGAGCCCCTCCCCAAATCGAGAAAGGAGTGATTTGCCCCATCCCTCCCACGCGTGCCGAAGCCTCTGCCTCCTGCGCCCTCCTTTCCTCTCTCCTCCCCCTCCTTTGCCCCGACACCCTCATCCTCCCCTCCCCCACGCAGCCACCGTCCTCGACCCCACGATTCTAAAGCCGTCTTTCACCTCCAGCAACAAAACTGACGCTTGAAAAAGGATCAGATTGACCCATTCCTAGCGAGGTGCAGATAACTGATAACAACTTGAAGTGGCACATTAAAACAGTAACTTGGGTACAAAATCTTAAGCTGAAGGGCTAGAACACTGAGTGTGGACTTTGAGAGTCCAGCATGGGAGAGGGAGAGTGTTTTTACCGGCTACCACCCCCAAATCCTCAGTCAGGTCACACAGGCTTTGGGGGTAACTTCTCCATCTAAGAGCTGGGTCTCCCCCAGGTTCTCCTATCTGAGGGGAAGGCTGCCTCAGGCAGTAAGGAGGTCCAGGTGGAGAAGGGGGTTTTTCCCTAGTGCAGTCACCCTGTGGCTGGCCCAGGGTCACTGCCTTGCTGGGACTGTGAGGGGCACTGTGACCCAGGCATAGCCCACCTTGAGGTTCCTCTGAGATGTCATTCTCCCTGCCCCAAATGACCAACAGCATTTCCAGAGTCCTGGCTGTGCCCTTGTTCCTAATTGCCCACCCATCCTCTTCCAGGCCCCTCTTTGGTCAGACCCTTCGCCCACCCCCATGGCCTCCAACCCTGTATTCCAAAGGTGTGGCATTTGGGAGGTGTAGAGAGAGCCAGAGGAGCTGGGCTGGGCCTTGAGAGAGGGAGGAGTTCGAGGGGATTTGACAGTGAGTGGGAGTGAGGGCTGATGAGGTGGAATGTAGCTGCCCCAGTGCTCCAGGCCCTTCCAGGGGCTTCTGTGACAACTCCCACATCTCCCCCGTGGTCCCACACACAGTGCTGTCAGAATTATCTCCCAGCGCCATTTGCATCTTGGCGGTACTCTGCTGGGAGGTTCCTGATGGCCCATTAGCTCCAGGCTCACCTCCTCAGCCATCAACAGCTGCCACAGCCGGCCCTCCCTTCTCCTGCGGGGCCCACGTCCCAGCGCCTGCCTGCCGCTCCCTCCCAGCCTTCAATCACGCCTGTGTCAGAACTGTCTGTGGATCCTTCCCACCTCCAAGCCTCTGAACGGCCCATTCCCCAACCAGATTTCCCCCCTCCTTCATCTCTGCCAGTTCATGTCCCTCCATCCTGAAAAGTCTGGCCTCGTGCTCCCCACTTCCAGGCCTCCTTCTCACCCATGAGACACCCAGCCTGAATCACTGTCTTCTCTGTCCCCTGGGTCCTGAGTACTCAGCTTGGGCCACAGGGTCACTCACACACTGAGCACTCAACCTCAGAAGACATCTCAGGTGTGTAGACTTCATCGCTCTTCCCCCAAAGCAACTCCATAAGCATTGGAGGGCAGGGATCCCCACCCTGACTCAGACCCACAAACCCTCTCCTCCAGTGGAGAGGCGAGGAGGGAGGGAGGGCACATGCATTGTGGCCTTGGAGTCAGACGCCTTGAAATGGAATCTGCTGCACCACTTGGGACAAATTTTAGCCTCGGTTTCTCTCATTTGTCAAGTGAGAATGATGAACCTGTATTCATTGAGAAACCTTACTCGCCGAGGTAGCGCACGTGCTTGGAAGAGTGGCGTGCAGCAGGTACTCGACAAATAGCGTAGGAGGAATTAACTTAGAGAGTAGAGGGTTGTGAAGCACCCAGCATAGCACTTTGCACTTGCTTGGCACACAGTAGGTGCTCAATAAATAGCTACGATGATTCCTGTAAGGCAGTGGCGCTTGTCCCCTTCTGTCTGCTCTCTAGAAGTGGAGGTGTCCAAAGGACTCAAACCTTTTGCTGAAGATGTACTTAGGCAATCTGAGTTCTTGTGGGATGTGGTTCTGGGATCGACCCTGGTGTGCATTCCCTCTCAGGGGACGTGATCCATCAGCCCGAGGAGGGCCTGACCTCTGCTCCTGCTCTCCTGAAAGCCAGAGGGTGGGGAAGTGGGTAGAAAGGAAAGAGGGAGGAGGAGTCACCTGGAATGGAGGGGAGGCGAGAAAACAATCTGGATGGGCTTGAAATTGTAAATCCGTCTCTGTGCCTCAACCAGGTCCAACACTCTAGTTTCTAGAATAGAGAGAAAGAGAGGAGGAGGAGAGGAGGGGGAGGAGGATGGGGACAAGGGAGAGCTGCACAGAATAGCTTTCTCCAGCATATTCTACACTCCATGGTCACCAGTTAATGAGAGTCAGGTCCTGTTCCCCTGCATCCCGTGGTCAGCACTGACTGGGCCCCAGGAGAGGAGGCTATGGGTGCCCCTGCCCTGAGCATCTAGGTGACTCCTGCTGGTGGGTAGGGAACAGTAGGGCAGGCAGAGGGGATTGGTGGGGTGAGAACTCGAGGGGGCTTCAGAATGGGTGGCTCGGGTTGAGGGGGCCAATGTTTCAGTGAACTGGAAACCAGCATTCCTGAGGGCCAGTTCCCTTTCCTCCCTGCTCCTAAGGAAGGTCCTTGCCGTCTGCTGCAGCCCTAGGAGCTCTCTGCTCTTGCCAGGGGAGGACCTGACCCCCCACCATGTCTATACTAGTACACTCCCTGCCTGGCACAGGGACATGTCAGCCCCAGCACAGGGGCACAGCGGAGGCCCAGCCAAGCCTCTGCTGAAGGCAGATGACACTGTGGGATGGACATGTTCAGGCTCCTGCTTCAGGTAGGGTATCTCTTGGGCTTGTCTATGGTCTACTCCCAAACAATTGTTTATACCAACTTTGGCAAACTCGGGGCTGAAGATTACAGAGTCTCTGTAATCTTATAATTTCAATCTACAGCCTCTGCGCCTGTTGTTTGGCTCAGTGGTTAAGAACATGAGCTGTGGGATCTGTCTACCTGGGCTCAAATCTGAGCTCTGTCTTTGTGACCTTGGGTAAACTACTTAACCCATACCTCAGTTTCCTCATCTGTAAAGGAAGCATAAGAATCCTTATCACAGTTAGAAGCATGAAGTGGGTTAATCCATGAGTAGTAATTTATGTTACCTATTATTTGACACCTGAAAGTAATTAAAAATTTGTCTCTGTAGCTGGGTTCAGGGTTTGTGTGGGTCCTGGAGATCTGATCCATCTAGAGATTTTTATTTTTCCCTTAGCTTTATTGAGATATATTTGACATATTGTGTACATTTAGGGATTCTGAGGGGTTGTTTTGGGAGTGAGTAGGGTAGATGGTTTATGGAACCAGAGACCAGCAGACATTGTAGAAAGTGTGAGCCACGAGCTTCTCCTTCCTCTGATAGTCTGTTCCAGACCTTTATTAGCCTCCCGCAGACCCAATCAAAACTCATCTGTCCCTGTCCCATTCCTCAGGCTCCACTATTTTCCAGGTCTCTGTGTGTCGTCTGATGCAGGAATCTGGACCAGCGTCTTGGTTAGAAAGAGTGATTTGCATTTTTTATGTAACAGGAAACCTTTGCACTTCCTCAGGGTCCTGCTGGAAGAAGCGATGCATGATTCCACGTGGTGGGGCTCCAGAGACCCATGAGGAAGGCAAGAAGTGTGGAGGCCAGAGGCAGGCGGTTGCTCAGCCCTGTTGGAATTGCTCGAGCAGCTGCCCTCTCTTGCCAGCTGGTGTGGGGCTGGTGGGCAGCTGTTGCCTCTGCCCCCGAGATGTTGTTTCTGCTGTCTGTTCAGGTTGGCCTTTCGCTGCCCTGGGGCCGGAGAGGCAGCCTAGCTCAGAAAGGGGTGTGAATGGACTCTGACAGGCAGGGGGAGGGCGGCTCTGGGGAAGAGGGCCTGGGGCAGCGTGGCTGCTGTCAGAGCCAGTGCTGGGAAAAAGAGTCCATTCAGCCATTGAATATGCCAAGGCACTCTTTAGCGGAGCCAGGGGAATAATAACAGTGGGATTTATTGAGTGCTTACTACGTGCTAGGCACTTTACATCTGTATTCGGCCGAACCATATGCCATTGCCTCTCCTCAACTGATTTTGACCTACTCAAATAGCAATTTGGTTCAAACTAGGATTATTATATTAGTTTTCAATTGCTGCGTAACACATTACCACAAACCTAGCGGCTTAAAACAACGGCCATGTATTATGTCACAGTTTCTGGAGGTCAGGAGCCCAGGCGCAGCGGACCTGGCTTCTCGGCTCAGGCTTTCTCCAGGCTGGAATTGAGGTGTCTGCAGGGGCTCTGATCTCATCTGAGGCTTGGAGTCCAAGCCAGCTCGTTTAGGTTTCTGGCAGAATTTGGTTCCTTGCAGCTGTAAGATTAAAGTTCTGTTTTCTTGCCAGTTGTCAGATTGAGGTGGCCCTTAGCTCCTCGAGGCCACCCTCAGGTCCTAGCCACATGGGCCTCTCACAGCATGGCAGCCGACTTCCTCAAAGCCGGCAGGAGACTCTCTCCCTAGTCTGCTACCGCACAGTCTTATATAAAGTAACAGGAGTGAGGATGCCATCGTATTTCCCAGGTCCCACCCACACTCAGAGGGAGGGGAGTGTGCAGGCTTTTACACCAGTGGGTAGGGATGTTGGGGACCGTCTTAGATTTCTGCCTACCACAATTACTGTATCTTTTTCACCTTACAACAATCCTATGAGTTAGATAGTGTA